AACCCCCTAGTATAATAATTCTATTTGATATGTTGCCAATTCGCAACAAAATGATCGCTGCCCTTCATACCCTTTCACATGCTCTTCTCTTCGTCCTAATCCTCCCTCCTATCGGCGGTATGATGACCTCCAACACCCAAGGGCTTTTAGGACGCACTGCCACTTCCCCCTTCCCATCAGGTCCTGGCACAGGCACCAGGTCTATATCATAATTCATGAGCAAGCACGCCAAGAGCATTTTCGTCTCAGCATCTGCGACAAAGCGGCCTGGACATGCGTGCCGGCCGTGGCCGAAAAAAAGATTATTGGCGGATGTCACGGTGAAAGTTGGCCTTGGGGGCGTTGCTCCTATGCCGTTAGATTGCTCACTATGATGGTCTCGTTTCGGCTGCGCAAAGCGCCAGGGGTTAAACTTCATGGGGTCTTCGAAGATGTCGGGATCGCAGTAACTGCCGCGCGAGAGGATGGAAACCATCGCTCCCTTGGGGAGGGGGACGCTGATGGTGCTGGCTTCGCCGCTACTAGCTTCGCTCTCTATGGCGGGTGAATGGACATTATCGGCCATCACAGAGCGCGTGACGGAGCGATGTACAAAGCTGTGCATTCGTACCGTTTCGCGCATCACGCTGTCCATCAACACCAACTTAGCGACGGAAGCTTTTGACCAGCCGCCTGTTTTCTCTTCGTTTTCAGCTAGCTCGGTAGTAGGAGATGGGATAGTGTAGTATTCCCTTGGAAGCACAGATTCGATCTCCTCCCGGAGTAATGCGATTGTGTTGAATTCTTTGTCGGATGCGATGATGTTGAAGATTAGGTTTGTCGCAGTTGCAGTTGTCTGATGGAAGGAACCCAGGTTATTGATGCAGATCCGGTAGGCAAGGCCGTGGAGGTCGTGTAAATCCTCTTTAGAGCGATCGCTTTGAGCGAAACGAAGCATTAATTGGAGTAAGTCCTCGGGCTCATTTTGGCCACTGTCTATGCCGTGATGCCGCTCGCTTTTTATCGTTTCAGAGTGCTGATGTTTCAAAAAGCGATCCAAACGCCCCTTTATCACCGGTTTCAAAATCCTTTCCAGCTTCCAGTAGTTTAAACGGAATGGAAGGTACAGTATCGGGCACAGGACAGGGCGGAGCGGTACAGGTATGAAGGGGACCAAGCCCGCGTTTGTTGCGAAGAGATCCACGAATTTAGAGGAGGCGCGGAGATATTCTTCATCCCTGCCTGTGCTTTGATATTAATATATCGTCACTTATCAATAAATAGATACGATCCCGATGAAATCCAAGTGAAGTATACGTCTAGAGCGAAGAATAACCACTTACAAAGCGGTTCCCCTACCGTAAACTGACTCGAGAACTGCGCAATTACGAGTTTCAATGTATCCCAAAGTGGAATTTCCTCCCACTCGTCCTTGTTCGGAATCCACCTCTCAACTGCATTTTGCATTTCCTTACCCATTGGTCCCAGATATCTGTCAAAGTTGCGATTCACATCGCGATTGAGGATCATAGCCAGCCATGGATCGGTGACGTACTTGTGGTGGTCGGCTGCCCAGTCGATCTGATCCACCTCACGAAATGCCTCCTGCATGTTTAGGACTTTGTCTGGTTGGGTTACCAGCCACCGCAGGGTGCCCTTTGGTAGGAGAATTTCAGTCCGCAATCCGAGGCCTGGGACGAGGCATGGCTGGCCTTTTTTCAGGTACTATTTAATACGTTTCGTTAGTTGACATAGTAGAAGACTTAAACACACAGTAAAGAGATTAAGTAAAATAGACGGCTGTACTGCTTCAGAGCAATGTTTCTGCTAAGCAGCTGATACTCACAGTCTCATATGCCTCTTTATACAACCCCTCACAATTCGTAAAATATGATAAGCGAGTCTTAAGACTAAATCGAGCCTTCATACCATCGCGGACTCGTGGTATGCCTGGGTATTTGGCAGCGGAAAACCAGCAGTAAATCGAAAGAAGCACAACACCTGCCGTATTAACCAGACATGCTAACTGCAAGTAGCTGAGTTGATGAATAAAATCTGCTGCAAGCCATTTCGCAGGTACCAAGCCCGCCGTTAGTAAGGCCATGATACACAACGATTTTGCTCTCTCCGACAAACTGAGTGATCTCCAAATAAATGTCTCAAGAACCCTAGAGCGAAGTATATTTATTTTGCTATCATTTCCCTGCCCTTATAGAGATCGAAATCGGGTGAAGGGTTAATGCCGGATGCAACGAGACCTATAAAACAAATTCGGACCACTGATATAAATGCATGAAAATCATCCAAAACGTATGGTGCGTACATGTCCTGTTCAAATCACTAAAAATTCGGCCCTCAGCTCCAGCCTTCCTCAGCATATATCCGAAGATCACACAAGCAGGGAGGAATTCGGGGAATGTAACATCGGCAAACACGAGGATTGACATAGGCAGGGGCCAGGGGCCGGGAGCCATTAAGTTTGAAGCTATATTTACCACTTTCGCGTCTCGGCCTTCACTGATTCTCCGTGAAACAGGCCCATGTATCTTTGAACGGTGGCAGACATGGGGCAAGGTGGGAGTCATAACAGCATGGCGCTGGTAAATGAGCTCTTTTGTCCCAGTAGCCAAGAGGTGTGTTCAGGGATAACCTTAAGTAATTGAGGGCTCTCTAGGGCCGAGTTCCTCAGCCCTATATAATACATCTATAAGGCTCTAGAATTTAGTGCGTAGTTGCAGCTAGCTGATGTCCCAAATGCAAGTCCACCTTGGGAGCTCAAAGGAGGCTTAAATTCGGGTTCTTCGAACATGGAATCCAGGTTATGCTTATTTCTTATGGTGAGACGCGGCTTCCTAGGGTCTGCCTTACGTCGATTGAAGGCACTAGTATCAAAGTCCTCCTGACTCTCGGGGGTGCACCTTGCGTTTGCGCCAGCTGCTCAGTCAATTATGAAGCTGATAGGATCAAAGAAGGTATTGGCATCAGCGCCTTTCACGATTCGACCAGCTACAGCGCCCGAAAGATTTGGTCTTGTAGCCTTGAGGCAGGGTAACTGAGGGTCCTCAAAGATAGGACGGCCCATTGTGACTTCGTATATTTCTGAAAGCCCCCTCAAAGTGCATCCTGGAGGATAGGATTACTATCCAAGCTCAAATCTAGGCCATCAAAAACATACCGCAATGTCGGAAGCCATCGATTTCCTACCATACCTGGAAGTTGAACCGGCCCCAGGATTCGGGTCCACTCGGACGATCTGCCTATCGAGGCAAGGCCTTGCTCGTAGCCCACAAACTCGCTACCACGTTTGATAAGGGAACCCCTGATGGTGCCAATTTAAAGCCCGAGGCTACCTCAATGCTCTGTGTTCCATAACTAACTCCACTCTACCTGTACTCCGTAGGTCATGAGGGAATTGTGAAGGAAGGTGATCACATGACCCAGAGCGTGGTGTTGGAGGTATTGGATTGGATTGGATTGAACGGTCCATCCCCTTTACTATTAGTTGGCCTTGGTGGCACCTAGTAGCCAAGAGACTCAGGGGTTCACGTTGCTGTTGTGATTGAGCTAACTCCAGAGTAGTGGAACTAATGGCCAAATGCGGCGGCCGTTGAGCTTCCTATTGCAGACTAGCGCATTTCCCAAATGGGCTACATAAAAACCTTATCTCGACCAAGGTTTACACATAGAACACTGGGTGCATCGTACTGTACAAGTACACTATGTAAACCGTTGTTGTCCGGAGGCATGATGATGCTCAGAGGTAGCATTTGCATCCAGATTTTCAGGAACTTAGGGACCTTTTGATACGATGGTTATATAATTCACTATGATGGCGACATCGAAACTGAGTTATGTCGGTTAAGAGAGACGCTATGGCAAATAAACTGGCGCAGTGCAATATTGGCCAAATGCTACTATCAATCCCTTAAGATCGATGATTCAGGATTCGCCGATTCAGTTCAATATGGAGAGTGTTACAATGTACAGGTACACGCACCCTTCATACAGATACAGTATTTGAGGACGCCCCTACCTTGAGATCAAACGATGAAATTTCGTAGTAGCCAAAGTGCTTTATTGTTCTTAATCACGACCCGAGTACTGCATGTTAAATTTCCACTTTTGCCGTGCTCCGGTTCCGAAACACGTATTTAATCCCAAATATACACAGCTTCAGTTCTGGCATAAAATCTCATAGAGATACATTTTGTATGAGAAAAATATGCTCTCGGTACATCAGTATACACCACGCAGAAGACGAAGCATTTGATAGTACAGTTGAAAAAACAGCTACTTCCTCTAGTGTTTGCACCTTGCCCTTTCAATTGATATGATCAATGTTAAGTTCAGGGCCATGGCTCATCGGAAAGAGCTAAGACATGGGGATACTTATCCCTGCACCCCCTTTTTTGTTCTGTTCATTGAGTAAAAGTATGTGCTTTTCCTATTTTGGATATCAGGGTATATTGTACTCTATTGTCAAATGAGGAGATCCGTGCTGTTAAAAATAAACGCGGCGACATTCGAAGAGTGTCTATAATCAAGCACTGATAAATGTATAAACGAAAAATCTTATAGTCAAAAAGCCGAGCTCCTCGCCAATAATGCCGCCAATCCAAAGGGATACAAAATTCTTCAAAAGTCCACAATCCAACAAGACAGTCCAGCTTGTTCAAAAGATCCCCCAGTATTTCTCTGCTCCAAAAGTGGAGGGGTCATCCTTCTTCCATTTGTCATCAAATGCAGAGAATAAATAGAGATTACGCTCCTTGCCTTTAAAAGCGCTCAACAAACTCGCCAGCGCCAGATTATGATTCTCCGGGGATGGAATTGCCTTGCCATTCGGATTTCCGTGCTTCGGCCACCCTGATTCCGTAACAACAGTCATCTTTCCCCCTGCTGCACGCGACACACGCTCCTGCTGCTCCTTGACAAAGCCTCCCGCGTTAGATGCTTCGGTGTTGGGGTCGAAAAAGGCATGGATGTTCGCAGCGCAGAAATCAGAAGCTTTGCAGAGTTCCGGATGGGCGATTAAGGCATTGAAAGTATCCACGGTGACGACGGGGCCAGTGTAGCCAGCGTCACGCAATACCTTGCGGGCTTTGCTGACACTCGCGACGACCTCAGAAACGGAAGATTGGCCGCTGTTTACACGCTCGTTGCCGATTGCAACTGTGACAATAAGTGCCCAGGAGGATTGGACTCCCTGAATCAAGCTGTGCAAGGCCTCGTCAAGCTTTTCGATGTCGTAGATGCCGGCGAAGAGTTTTTTGTGGTATTTATTGGCGGCAGCTACCACCATGGGAACTTGATTGCAGTCAGTGCCGTAGAAACGGACGGTGTCGAATCCACCAAATTTAGAAAAGTCGCTCTCAACTTGCTGTGGGGTCTTGCATTCGCCGTTATCTCCGTATGGGGCGTAGCATATTCCCAAGCCATTCCCAGGGAAATTGGGTGATCCAGGCGCTTTTGGTGGTGAAACTAGAGGAGGTACAGAGAGCGGGAGTGGGTTTTTAGTGGGAGAAGGAAGCGGAAGGGGCGGGAGGGATAGGTCAACGGCGTTGGAATTGCCGCCTGGAGGTGGCGTAGGCGCTGGAGTTGAGGACCGACGCGGAGGTTGTGAAACTGGAGTTTGGGCAATCCTGTTTGCAGCGTCTTTGGTGATAGGGAGGCTTCGGACAACAGTCAGCGTTGGATTTGCGGAGGTAGACCGCTGGCCTGTAGTTTTCGATCTGACAGGCACGTTTTGGTCAGCCGAGACGATAACCTCAGTCGAAAAGTCAACGAGATTATTCGATTGCCCACGCTTTGCGTTTTCAGGGGAATACGCTGTCCTCAAGATGTATCAGCTTCCAATTTCGCGACTGGATTTAAAGGTACCGGATTGGAAGCGGAAAACGCAAGAACTTGCCTTTCGGGAGGGCGGCGGTCACTCTTAGCAAAGAAAGCACAGTAATGGTGAAGATACCAGTCTTCATTTTCGCATATGTACTTGTATGTTATATATGTCCAATCTCCCAAAAATGCTTATTCATTTGGGACGAAACGAGCGCTACATATGGCTTGTCAGTCAATGGCTAGCAGCCCGCTTGCTAGAGCAGAAAAGCCATGGATATCTATGGAAGCAAAACATATAGTTTTAAGGCTGTGCAATCCCTCAGCTCAGGCAATGCCAGTGGAAAGGCACATTGCGAAACAGGCCTAACGGAGGAGTAAAGTTGGGTCTCCAATAAACTGGAACTGCACGAAGAGAAGTCACTCACCTAAGACTATAGGAGATACAAAAAGTCGGAAGAACAGTATTATCCCACAGCCCACAGTTTGCAAATTTCACGAACTAATACAGGTTTGCGAACATTGGTTTGTTTTAGCTCCAACAACAGAATAAGTATATCCCGGCCGCTATAACTCCCACTTCGTATGCGTGGATGTGAAGTGAAGACGGTCGTATTCGAGAATGCTGGCGATATAACGACGGAATTTCCTTTTGCAGCGGAACGCTAGGTAGCTAGAGTTTGATGTGTGAGAGGTTGATTGAGGCGGCGGCGTTGAAGAGATTGGCAACGCACAGCAAGATTGTATTCTGCTGTAAAGGATAGAGCTGATTTTGCAGGGGCAAAAAGGAAGGGAGTCTGGTGTCAGGAGGGATTGAGCCCAATATATTACCACAGGGAAAAGGCATACGTGAGGCGATCCCGCGGTCGACTTAAGGTCATAGCCGAGTATGACCTCGTGAAGTAAAGAAGGCAATTGAAATAAAATGAAATAAAAATATCTGACTGAAGCAATCCTAGACACTAGCTGAGGAGGCAACTGTGTACGTCTCGATAAGGACTGACTAGCAGGGTAGATAAAAGCAACTGATAAAGCGGAGAGGAATAAGCCGGCCCTCATGACAAGACCATTAATTAAGCAATAAATGTTTGAATATGTGAAAGAAGTAGATAATTGACCAGAGAGGCGAATAAGACGAACAACACCGACGGCGGACAGAATTGGGGAGAAAGGACTCAAGCGCATCACTATTAATCAACAAAGGAATAACGAAGGTCTGGGTAGATTGGACGATTAGGACCGGCAATGACAGGTAAGCTATACAAGGAAATCATACAGAATAAGAACTGGGGAAAATAAATTTTTAGCCAGGAAGGGTAACACGGTTCCGCGCGGCACAGAACTGTTATATAGATTGGCACAGGTAGATGTACCGCACAAATGGCGCGTAGAGATTTGGTGGGCGGCAAGCAAGAGCAGGAAGATTTATTTCTTTGACAAAAAGACTGCAAGTAGGCCAGAGAGCACAAAAATATACGAAATTGGCCAGCAGCAATTAAATGAAGGCGAGATAAGGTAGAAGCCGTTAAGGAAGAATCAGGAACGCCTCGCATTTCGTGGATCTGGGGGGCGGCGACCTATTCGAACGCCATACCAACGTCGTTTACGCCGGGCGCTGCTCATTGCATGGTTGTTTATGATATCGGATTGTGCACAATGGTCTCTGCGTCCATGCTCATGCCTGTCCGATTTCGTCATCCCATCTCCTTGTGGCTTGGGAGTTGAATAGCTCAACGGGATATGCAGCTTTTTAGTAGGGTCCATCCTAGGCGGATCATCCGGGTATGACGCACGGCTACCAACAGTACGGCCCCTACTTGGGTGAGGATGACACATGGCACTCAGACAAAAACCGCATCAGAATTTACCTAGACTAGATCTCAAACATGACTTGAATCTTCCAGATCTCATTTTCTTTGGGGGGGCTTTCGGGAACGCCCCGATTCCAGAGGCAAAAAGAATAAACTCTCGGTTTCAGGGCCTGAACCACAGAAACTTCCTCAACTGGTTGAACTTTGGGTCCGCCCGACCACAAACACCCCACTCAAAGCGACCTGGTCAAGCGTTCAGCCCATGGCAAATTTGCAATTTCGAGATTTGGCGGTACAGCTTCTCCCTGCTGTAAGATATGAGCGAACGAAACCAGCGGCAATGGTAGGGGAGTAGGTGGCAGGAGTTCTGCTTCTTTTGTTTCTTTGTTGTTTTGACCATGGCATGGTTAGTGAGGGTAGCCGTCGCTGTTTCATAAGGGACACACAAAGATATTGTTGTCGACGGAGACAAGACGCAGTGTTGTGGCTGTTGTTGGAGGTCGTTGTTGTCAGAAGATATTGGATGTCTGCTTGATAACAAGCTCAGCCGCTAAGCTGCATGGGGGAGGGATCTGACATCTATACAAGAATGAGCGGAAGCCAGAGAATATCGACTTCAACTGATCTTGTCAATCACGCATAATAAAATAAAATAAAATAAAATGACCAGCCCTCCGAATGCAAACCCGCCTCCAGCGACGAATAAACGGAATCTCCACAGTTATCAAATCAGGAAGTGCGCATATGCAGGTACAGTACATGTGCACATACATTACATAGTGCCGAGAGGGACATACCGTAAATGACACAATCTAATCCATTCTCCCAAACTAGGGTCATTTGCCTGTCATGTTGCTGCTGTACCACCTTTTTTTTGGCTTTCTAGGTTGCTATAATAACAAAAGCTGGCGCATCGATGGTTCATCTCGCCTGCTAATGCTCCTGTTTCTTAAAACGAATGACATGGCGGAATACATACAAAACGGTCGAGGGATGGGTTGGGCTAGACTGGAGTAAGATGTGGGATAAAATAGAGGGAGAAAGGGAGTGACAGACCCAGTTTGCTGAGTTTGTTGACCTGATGATATGACGATGATGGCGTCGAGGGTTTTGCAACATGGATGATTGTGGAGTATATGCATCTACGTACACACACACACACATACACATATTCATTCATATGTAGGTATATCGATAGCCATTTGCAGATGTCCACTGATTGAATGTATTCGCGTAGATCAAATGATACATGGATACATGGACGCAACTTGCACATCAAAAGGATTCGGACAGCTTAATTATTATATAAGTACATAAAAGCGACGGCGCTGAATTACAACAGGTATCTAAATCCTTTTTTCTTCATAGTACAATAAACAGAAGAGAAAAAGCAAAAACCAGGAATCGTACAGCGGAACGGGACAGGAAGGGTCAGACAGAATTTAGTGAAGAAAATCAAAAACTTAAAAAGAGCAAAAAGGCAGAGAGAGACCCCCAAAACCCTTACCAAGACACCAACCCAAGCAAAATGCACCACACACACGCAACAGCGAGTCTTATCGCCTCTGCCTGAGAACCTTCGTAATAGCATGACGAATTATGGTCCCCGCCTTCTCAACCTCCCTCCGCGATATGCCCGTCGTCAAGCATACTTTGAGAGCAGGAGGAGGAGGAGTCGCAATGTGCTGGGGGATCACGTTGTCCTCGATGGACTTACTACGGGTAATGAGGACGCCATTGGCGAGAGCCTGAGGATACATCATATAACATTAGATATATATAAACAAACGGGGGAAAAAAAGGAAAGAATAATAAGTAGAAACGAAAAGTCCTGGGAGGGAAAGGGGGCGAATGACAAAAGCAGACGAAACAAAACAAATCAGAGAGGAATGATAAAGAAGAACAAGTAAAACTATACCTCGTCAACAATATCCTGCATTAAGGCGACCTGATCTTCAACCGACAGCCTCTTCGCCACGACAACACTCTGCTTCAGCACGAGGTGCATTACGGGATTCTCCGGCGCGGATGAGCAGTAGACATAGTCACTCCGGGGGTCTAGTTGCAGCCACATCGCCTTAATATTCTCCCGCAGCTGCGTGATAAGGTCGGGGCTATTCTGCAAGAGGATGATGGTTTCACTAGCCGTCGTGGCCAGCAAGGCGGGAAGCGCGGCAGAGTAGCAGTACGCAGTGGCGGAGATACGTTGGTGGTGGACAATTTCCTCTGACCCAGCGCAGAAGCCTCCTCCTGCAATAAGGGGACCGGCTAGTGAGCCGACGATCATGTCGACTTCCGTCGCATCGACATTTTGGTGTTCTGTGATTCCGCGGCCGGTGCGGCCCAGGACGCCGAACGAGCATGTCTCGTCAAGAATTAATCGGAATTTGTAGCGGAGTTTGAGTTCAATCTATCAAGAAAAGAAAAACGAACGGGGGTAGGAACGCGACGGAAAGTTAGCGTTTATTCATACTTCCCTTCACAACGGCACACCAGGGGACAAGAAAAAGTAAAGAGATACGAACAATGGCCGGCAAATCCACCATATCTCCTCTACTCTCAAACAGCGCCTCGGTAATAATAAATCGTCTTGTTAACGGCTTCTTCGCCTGTTCCTTCGTAATCTTGCTCAACACCCGTTCCAAATCCTCCATATCATTATGCTCATACCAGCGCACCGCGCTCCGCGAGATCTGTATGCCCTTCCGAATCGCATAATTAACGCCTTTATCCACAACAATGATATCACCACGCTTAGAGAACGATGGGATAACACTAGATATCGTGGAGAACGCTTGCGCATAAACAATACAGGCAGGCACGCCAAGGGAGGCTGCAATGTCTGCCTCAGTACGTATGTGCACGTCCTGAGTCCCGTAGAAACCCGGTGGCCCGCAGGGGCCGACGCCGTATGTGCGGAGAGTCTGGATAGCTTTCTCCTTGAGGTTCTCATTCGCGACAAAGTTGTAGAAGTTGGAGGAGGCGAGGTTGATCACGGTGCGGCCGTTGGTGAGTTTTGATTTCGGGCCCGTTGGCCTATTGTTTTGAAATGGAGAAAAGGTAAGATAGGTAGGCGAAGAAGAATTATATCATTTCTTGGGCTTTTTGAGTGAAAGAAATAAAGATTTTTTTCAAAAAAAAATAAAAATAAAAATAAAAATAAAAATACAACATACCCAGCAAGCACAACCCGTTTCTCGACTTCCGCCTCATCCCGCGGCGAAGGAGGCGTAACAAGAGGTTCCGGAGCCCAGTCCTCAACCAAGTCGTCAATTTCCTATACATTCATCAATGCCACCGCCAGTCAGTCAGCACAACTCACAAACTATCTCATCCCGCAATCTCCCCATAAAACCAAGACAAGGGTGGGGGGGGGGGGGGGGGGGGGGAATAAATAAATAAAAATAAAAACCAACCTCCTCCGACAACGGCACAAAATTCGGCTTCGTCGAATACTTCGGCGCAAGCAGGTATCTCACCGCGAAGAGAAACAGGAACAGCTCGACGGCCGAGCGGACGGGGTCATTCTGGTACGACGACCTGACGTAGCGGAGCAGGATGGCTGAGCCCGGCACGCGGTGGAACTGGCTGCTCAGCTCGTGCAGGTACTCGAGGACCAGGCGCTGTGTTTCGTGCAGGTCCATGGTATCCCTTTTCGTTTTCTCTCTCTCTCTCGCTCTCTCTCTCTCTCTCTCTCTCGCTTTCTCGTTTTCTCTCTGTCTATGTATATATGTATGTATGTATATATATCTAGCTATGCGTGTGTGTGCATTCGCTCATTCGTGCGGGGGCGGGAATAGGGGGTGTTGCTCCCGGGGGGGCCCGAGGGCTTTTAGGTATCAAAGGCACGCGCCGGGAGAGGGCAAGGAGACAATTAAATATTAGGTATAGAGGTACCGGTAGATAAAAAAAAGTGGGAATTTGAAGAAGAGAAGAGAGAGGAGAAAAAAAGATGAATGGAATTGATTAGGGCACGCAGGGGAAATGTGCAGAAGATCTCAAGGGGCTTGACTTGGATGCGAAGTCGCTGGTTTTCTCCCAAACCCGATTTGTTATTTTTTTGTTCTCCTGAATGGACCAGTCACGTGATTCTGGAGTTTTCATAGATGAAAATGAAGACAGCCGATATCAGCAAAAAATCATTCATAACATTCTACAGCTTAGCATCAATGCTACATACATCGCTGATTAATTTGATCTGCAAAGAAAACAAAAGAAAAAGAAATATAAGGGGCTTCTCTGCATTGCCCTGCACTTTTACTGTATGTATGATGTATACTAGTATCTGATGAATATAATTTAAAAGAGCAAGAACAAAGAGAAAGAGAAATGAAAAAGTTAGAAAATTTAAAAAATAAAAAAAAGACATTTAACTACGCAGCAAGTATATCTCAAAATCAAATCATTAAAAAGAAAAAGAGTACCACAGCAAAGAATTTATAAAAACAAGGGAAAAAAACAAGTGTCATTAATAGCGAGTATGTAAAGGAAACACAGAGCAGCAGAGCAACAAACAAAATGTGCCTAAAAGCCAATTTGCAAGACTAAGCTTCATCTTCAGGTCTAATCAGAACCATGAGAGAGAGCAAAAACACAAAGAAAGAGAGAGAGAGAGAAACAGGAGAAAAAAATAAAGAGAAAAAGGAAACCACGCAATCGTAAACCCCAATCCCCTTGCCATGCATGCCCATTTCAGCCCGTGTAAATTTCTGGTGTACTGTACAATACATTCGGGACATCTTCTGAGGACTTTGTAATATCAAAGTGAGAAAAATTTATGAATAAAAAAACGCCTCAAAAATATGCTCGTGCCAGTTCATTTTGCTGGCATCCATTTTATCTCCCATGGGCTTCTTTAAAAGACTTCCTTAAAATAACCGAGCCATCCGGACATTATTTGCAGGTCGTTCGTTCTTAGGTCCCCCAGTTGGGATCGATGTGGTATCGTTATTGTCTTGGCCGGTTGGTTGAAGTAAGTTCATGTTTTCTATGAAGCCTGGGAGCGAAAATTTTCCTATGTGGGGACCGGCAACCACAGGTCCGATGATAAGAGCAAGGAAAATAACGAGCATGACAAAGTAGAGGATGGCAAAGCGGATGACTCTTCTCTTCCGTAGCTTGGATTGCTTCAGTGAATAGATTGGAGGGCGGATTTGGCGACTACAGGTTCATGATTAGTTTTCTTTTTCTTTTCTTTTATTCTTGGATTTTCTTTGAGGATATAGGAAACATACCTTGGGCGAAGCCAGAAGAGCATTACAGAGTGGCCCTTGTCGACATACGGGATGCAGAGTGGTGGCAGCATGAAGAACAAAAGCACGTGGCCAAGGATGAAATCCGCGGCGAACATTCCAAGTTCCGTGATCTTGCAGAGGAACTCACGTCCTGGTTGAGACATTGAGTGCCAACCCATGCTGTACCACTTACCAGTCCACCACGCGACGTTCGAGGTGTCATGGCGGAATTCTCGGGTCAGGGCAAGGGAGATGATCAATTTGTACACGAATCTCTGGATGGCGACGACTGAAACCATTCCGATAAGTGCTTTGGCGAACACCCATCCTTCCAGGAAGAACATAACTTCAAAGAAGGCGAGGAGCATAACAACAGCGACGCCGTGGGCGATAGCTGCTAGCACAGAGCCAAACTTCTTGCAGCACATGCTCAATACGGGACCCATACAGCAAGCCATGGCGAAAAGAACAGCAAGGCAACCGGCATTGATGGCAATGGGTGCAAAGGCTACAATGGCGAGTCGGATTAGAGAACTAGTAGGCTTTGCTCCATCGACTCCAGTCTGAGCATTGATGAAAAGATACGGAATGAGGGTAACGACCACGAGGACAAGAGGCCCAATAATTTCGCTGAAGAAAATATTGGTAAGCTGTGCTCGTGGAGCATCGCCAGACAGTTTCTCCGAAGGAGACCCAAGGACTTTGCGTTTATAACCAGTTATCCGAGTACGAGAAAGTCGGCAGAAGGCAATCCATGAAGAGGCATGGGAACGAGAATTTCCACGAGAGAGCCAGCGCAGGTAGTCACGGTAATCGATGAAGAAGTCGTTCCAGGCGAACTGATGAGGATTAAACAAAAATGGTGAGATGCAAAGAGCAAGAATTGAAGCCCAGAACCAGAGAAACCACGCAGACCAAACAGTAAGCGTTGCAAATAGCAGCATCATCAACGACCTAGCGCCAAAGTAAATGGATGGGCCAGCGAAACGAGAGTAGAGTACACCGAACGGAATACGAGCAGTCGCAAAGCCACGACCGGTACCGATATATCTAGCACCTCCGAATGACAAATTGTTATGCAACGAGTTGGCGTAGATCTGGCAGACGAACACTTCGAAGAAAGGAGATAGCGATCCAAAGTGCTTGGCGAGACGGGTAACCGCACGCCAGGCTCCTCTCTCCGTAAGTTCTTGAACCACCAACGGGAAGAAAGAGAGCAAGAACACGATGCAAATGGAAGCAATACAACGGTTAACCCAGTCCGTGATCGGATCGGTATCAGCGCATCCGGTAGGCAGAAGGGCATCGGTAATTGGAACTCCCTTTTTCACGATACAGGGAATGGTTTGGTTGCGGAGGGAGCCAAGATTCATCATGCAAATCATGAACATCTGCACGGAAAGCATAATAAAGAGATTGTTGATATGGAAGCCAGGATGTGCGTAGTAGAACGACAAGAAGCGATCAAGAGGTAATTGGGTACCCAAATAGTAATACTCTCGAGACAGCATCTGCTCTCCCATACCAGTACCAATCTTAGTGGTGAAGTTGAGAACTGAGCCAAAACCAAGATCACGACCCTTTCCGCATTGATAGTATTCGCAATGTTTAATGCGGCCACCACGGAGAAGTGCATTCATACCAGCATAGATATCCTCATTCAGATGGAGGCCCTTTTGTGCTTTGGAAACGCCACCGCGTGTAGTCATAAATATGCCGTTGAGGAAATCAGGATGACCGTAGTGAAGCTTGCCACCAATTTGAGCCAGTGTTCGAGCAAAGAGCGTACCGAAAGTCTGTTCCTTCCCTGCAGCAACATCACCAAGGATACCAATGTTCTCCGAAAAGATGTATTCACGGGCACCAAGGATTGCAACCGGTGTGGTTTTCGGGGGAGGGACTCCGGGGACATATGGCGAAACATTCTCAGGATTCATCTCTTCAAATTCGGCCAGAACACTGCGGATCTTCAGACATTCTTCCAGATAGTTATCCTGGTTAGCGTCAATGAGCTGGATATATTCGCCACGGTAGAAAATGATCGCATGGTTCTGATTATCGGATTTTCCATCACCAAGAATCGGATTACCGGAGAGCTGAACTCGAAACTTGGGGCGGCGTAGTCCATTCTCCATGATCTCGGAATGGCCATCAATCAGGGCAGAATACAATCTGGGCTCCTCACCCTCGTTGGCAGGTGGTTCCTCGTCCAAGTAGGCAATTTGAAGATCCGGGTAAGCTCTGAGCAAGAACTCTGTATTTTCACGTTCTTCCTTGTTGAATTTCGCGAACCGCTGCATAGAAACCACGATTCTGAACTTGCGACGAGCCATCCTTTCCAATTCGCGTTCAAGCTTCTCCGAATTGCCACCAAACATTTGAACGACCTCGGGGTTTTCCACGCGGTACAGAAGCTTTATGGCGCGGCTATAGTTCATGAAGCCAGAAATAGTACGGTACAAGGTTTGAGAACGAAGCGAAGCCCAGATACGAGTCCGAAGAGTGTACTCGGGTGCGGCTGATTTGAAGCCAATGCAGTAGAATGGCAAGTCATCGATTTTAGTTTTGGCCGCGTCCTTTTCACTTTTCTCGTCGCCGTTAAATTGAGAAGTTTCATCAGCCAAGATTTTCGTGTCTTTGACAAAGCAATCCCATTCATGCGGGTGCAGTTGCTTCAGGTATTCAAGGAGCGTCACGCGGGAGTAGGGCTCATCTTCACGAATGATTTCACGCAGAGACAGGAGTATCTTTTCGCTGTAGTGAGGAATAAGGACGGTGAAGGTAGGCATGTTGTCAACTGGAACCGGCTCAGGAATCGGTGTTGAAAGGGACTGGGCAAAGAAGGAAATACGGCGTTCAGCCTCACTCTGAGTGGGGAAGAATTCCGTCTTGAAGGAATGGTCTTCTTGCGATACAAAAAATGTAGGAGCTCGCAGTGTCCGTTTTCCTTCTTGTTCCGAAGGGACCTGGTGGTAGAGAAGCTTTTGAACATGATCGATCGCCAGCAAATGCTCTCGGTACATCGAGATAACAATTGCGTTCCAAACCTGTGAAATAAGGACCTTTGGCTTGTATTTAATTTCCATGTCGGTAGTCGCAAGGACCTTGGAGTAAATTCGCTTCGGTAAGCGGGAGAAAATGTTTCTCCAAGGAGTCCAGATAGATACACCGAGATAGAATGAGCGGGCGACCGAAAAGACAGCGTTCAGAATAATATACCATAGATAGGTATCAAGGAAGAACAAACTAAGATCCGTGAAGAACATGAGGCCCAGTAGAATCCTTGGCTGCTGCTTGCAGAGCACATCGGCAGAGGGACCAAAAATTTTATCACCCGCGCACTGGTGAATCTTCATCTGCGACAAAATCCGGATCGGGTCACGGAAAGAGAGAGTCAAGAAGAAATAAGACTCGGCAAGTTTAGCACCGAAGACACAAGTCCAGAGGCCATATGACATCCACATATCGTTTCCCCGAAGCCTGGGGAAGCTGGCTGTGAAGGTTTGGCTAGCGACGTATTGGCGAGAGTTCTTCCTAAGATAGCTTCCAAAAAGCCCTCCCAGTGGCATAATGGCGAAGAAGAAGAATGTTGCCAGGTTGACAAAGAAGGACACGATTCCCAGAGCGTGGGCAGCCGGATGGTCTTGATTAACCCCAAAAACGAAAACTGCAGGCCCGATGTTGATGCAGAAAATTCCGATGAGGAAGAGAAGCCGTTTGGTCAAGTGCTGCGCACCAGCCCAAGCCCGAGGAACGTAACACCATTCGCAAATTGTTGCAAATATCATGATGAAGGTGGCCACGGCACCACCCAAGCCGGTAGCGGTCCACCTCGCAGCAGCAGTGGGTGGATTGTTTTCTCGCTGTCTGTAGTCCCTAGTGTAGAGAGTTGGGGAGTTGAAGGCGGTGTAAAACCAGAAGGAACCGACGTGGATGACCCAAATACGGTTGAAGTTCACCATCATATGGAACCAGGATCGGGTTTCCTTGTAGGTCTTGAAAAACACCTTTTTCCAGTTGACCTCTTTGAGTTTCTGGTATCGATCAGCGGGCGGGATGTCCACGATGCGGGATTTGTCGTTCATCACAATCCGCTCGATTCCTTCAGGGTACCAGAAGAGCTGGTTGATATCATCGTAACCGATGATCTTGTTGTGATCCTTTTCCCGCCGGACGTACTTGCCATCAAAAATTTCATATCCTTGGTCGCGGCAGTACTGGTACAGCGGGGTGATGATATTGTTGAGGTAAGTGAATTCTTCAACAGGCTCAACACGATTTTGGCATTCAGGCGAGTGGTAGTAGTCGTCAGCACATTTGAAAATGAAGCAGAGGGCTTCGGGCATGAATCGGACTTGGTTAGCTTCACCCCAGCACAATAGATATAAGGCGATTTGACGGGCGCGCTCATGCTGGGACATGCGATTCATGCGAGTTTTCCAGCGATACTCTGCAGCCTCTAAGCTGTTGTCCCCTTCTAGATCCGCCAGAGCTTGTTCTTCATTCTTTGGATCATTGGCTGCGGCTTTCTTGGCTGCTTTGCGGGCTTTTCTAGTTTTGCGATTTGCCTTGCCTAAATTCATGTTGGCAAATCCCACGGCATCATCCAAATCGAGATGAGCAGCAAAATACCAACGGCGATAGTTCGCATTATCGCCCCCAATGTAGTCTGCATGAAGCGACAGAAGGGCCTGGTTGGGAGTCAAGCGGGACGCCCTGGAATCAAGCAAGGTCATGAAATGGTCGTACATGTTCCGCATGCTATCGCGTTGAAAGCCGAATTTATTGACCAGGTCCAAGAAGATGTCCTCAATCTCCTCCTTGGAGAGGGGGATTTGCGCATCAGAAGTCCAGGCGGGGTATGGTTCCCGGGAGCGTTGGCCGGCAGGGAGAGCGTTACCGTAGTCGAGTCCATAGACGGGGGTAGAGGCACCAGAGGACCTGTTTGCACCGTAGGAGATTTGTGAGGAAGGAGGACGGTATCCACGGCCGCCCATATGACTTTCGCTGTAGCTGTTGTACTGCTCGTCACCACGACCATAGTAGTCCATATCCGCAGCACGGGCAGTCTCGGACTTCATAGTGAAGTCACTGAAGGTTTCCGAATCTTCTTCAGAATCATGGCCCCTGCGACGTCCCGACTGCGGTCCATTGTTGTAGCCCGCAGTGCCCTGATCGTAGTACTGATCGTTGTAGTACTCATCGTCATAACCCTGCTGGTTATCGTAATAACCATCTTGTTGCGGATATTGGTTGTCCCCGTAGCTATTTACGAAAGATAATAGAAGTTTTACCTAACGTCAGCAATTGTTGCGGAACGGTGTCATTGGCAAAGGAAAGGAGACTCACTATCCCTGGTTATTGTCATAGTACCCATCATGTTGTGAGTAATCATTCTGGTCGTAGTACCCGTCCTGGTAGTGGGAATCGCCTTGGGGGTATTGACCATAGCCATCACCATACCCATGGGGAGGCCCACCTTGCTGTGGGGCCGACATGATCGATTCGACGTATAATGATGATTATGTGTCTCAGCTGCAGCGTCGGAAATATCCATGGGACATCATGTCAGCAACTATTCTTATTATAACAGAGATGTCTCCATCCAGAAGAAGTAATCACGACTCCCAAACACCACCAGAGGAAAGAACGACTCGACTTACACTATATCGCAACCATTAATTAACTTTGATATATATGGAAAGGGGGAATCCGGTCGATGATCGGGATTAAAAGAAAAAAAGAAACAAAAGGAGGTCTATTATTGCTTGGAAAACAGCCGTTGCGTAAATATTCGGTCGATTGTCGACGGGGCCACGAGCAAGCACACACAAGTATATATGCAAACAAACGAAGGTAGGTTGGCAACCCCAAAACAAAGACAATTGGAGAATAGTCGTAAATTTTCTTTGCTCGATCAACGCGGGGACCGAAGATGGAGTTGAATTTTGGTGGTCGAAACAGCCTCCAGCTGGTGTTGGGAGGGTAAAAAGCGAGCGAGCAGGTTGGTTGGGATGGTGGTCTACACGCACACCAACAAAGGGAGCAAGAGGACGAGGACGACGAGGACGACAATGACGGCTCTTCTAGGCCGCCAAAACTCGACCTCGGGAGAGCCTCTCCACCGTGTCCGACCAAGGGAGACGGGAATTGAGAGACAGAGAGTTGGAGTGGGAAGAGCGGATCGCGGACTCAGGGGAAAGGGGAAAGGGGAGGGAAGCAGAAGAGGAAGCGGGAGAGGGAGGAGGAAGGTGAAGGAGAAAGGCGAGGAGAGGCGAGGCGAGAAGAAGAAAAAGAAATTGTACTCCTGTTCCTGTTGTTGTGAAACGAGCGACGAGCGAAGGGGCCAAGTGCTGCGGTTACTCGGCCAATAGTGCCGAAACGAGAGGAGAGGGCGCGGTCACAGCAGCAGGAAAATGGAGAGATCTCGACGGACAACGACGCCAGACACAACACACGGGTACACAGCCAACTGCCTATTTGCTGCCAAGCGTGGTACCTGGCTGGACGAAGGATCTGGATGACTATTCTTCTACTCCCTCGTCCTCCCAGCTGTGCTTTGACCTTTGTAACGAGTGGGAGGGCAAAGGAACTGGAGGGGAGGAGGAGAAGGACAGGAAAAACGAGTGTTGGCAGTACGGGTAGCGAAAGAAGCAAAAACAAAAAAAAAAGGGAAGAAGAAGAAAAAGAAAAGCGCAAAAGGGAGCAGCCAGCAGAAGGAGGGAAAAGGGCAAGGAGCGGCAAAGGAGAGTGGGCAGAGTAGGAGGACGGGTGAGCAAAAAGTTGGCCGTGACAGCGAGACGCGGGAAGGGAAAAGGGCAGGGAGCAGAGACACCAAGGACGAAACAAGAGACAGCCAACGGGCGAGCAAGGGTTTTGGCCTGTGTGTGGTCGGTCGGTGGTCGCCGGATGCATATCCACACACGCAGTCCACACACAGTCCACACACAGTCCACACAGTCCACAGTTGCCCAGCCACCGGCCCCAGACAGGCGTCTGGCATACCAGGTACCGGCCAGGGAACAGCCCAACCAGGTTCTGCGGTTATCTCCCCTGTTCCGCTGCTGTATCTTACACTGTATGCTGTACGCTCTATACTGTCCAGGCCAAGAGGTAACATCCAAATAAACCATCCATTACTGCTCTCAGCTGTATGACCACTGCAAAATCTTCACTACACAGTACAGTCGCCAGTTGCATCAGTGGCCTTCCCCGGTCCGTCGTATGTTTACCCTGTGCCTTTCAGGGCAAGGTCTCAAACTCCATTTTTGTTTGACTTTCAAAGTTACCAATTCCATACCCTGGGACCTGGAGACCAGCTGATAAACATCCCCCGCTTCCCTGGCCTAATTGACTTTCTTTCACCATACCACTAGATTTGACGGGCAGCACACACCCAAAGCGGAAGACGTAACCCAGGTAACAACTCGAATTCAAGGTTATGCTTATGCTTTTTTTATATATGCGTTTTTGTGAAGGCTTCTGCTTCAATATCTGCCCCTGTGCAGCGATAACTATACCACAGGAGAAAAGAGATTTTCTGTATTTTGCCGCGTCATTCAATACCAGTTGGAAGTGCCAAGGTTGCTGTTTACTTTGCCCCCTTGGGTAACTAAGGAATACTAGTTTGCAAATCAATGAGATTGGCTGAGGTCACGTGGTACAGTCTCTTTCCTGTCGTCCAACGAATCTGAGGCGCTGGGGCCCGACAACCTCCAGCCTCCAGGGCTTGTCCCTGGCGAGCTGGCCCACCCACGACTCACGGCGCAGCGGGATCGTCACGTCGGCCAATAACACCCCGAGCAGCCCTGGTGGATCGGTTCTGGATTCACCCTGGAAAGACCCATTGCGCAGGTACTCAGTGTTCAGGTATTTCGGAACATTAAGGTATTGCTTATTACCATGTATGTGTAAATATATATATCTCTCTGTCTCTATATATATAAATGTAACAAACCACATCAACAACCATGATAATTCTCTTTGCATTGACACTAGGAGAGTGCTATTTATTTATTTATACCCGTCACTTCTTCAAGAAGGCTGACACATTGGACAGCATAAGAACAGTTAGTTAATTAACTAATTTAAATACTTCCAAGATCTGTTTCGGTTTCAGACCCTCGCAAATCCGTCTAACCCTTACAGTGCACATCGATGGTCACATTTCAATAATAGCAGAGGCTAGGCCAATAAATCTATCACTAAATAAATCGAACAGCCCGTGCGCGAACTATTCCATCCGATCAAGGAAAGCAAAAAGGGGGGGAAGAACGAGCAGATAAATCGCCAAGTCTATTGGATCGAACCACAAAGAACAGAAAAGAGAAGAAAAGAAGAAAGAAGAGAAAAAAAACCCCCGCGATTATTTGAACATATTTCCCACAAAACAACAATAATGCCGATGATTCTGGATCCTACAGCGTACATCGTAAACTTTTTTTTTTCTGCATACGTGCCTGCCAGAAACTCAAAAAAAAAAAAAAAACCCCTAAACTTTCCAACAAAAACCCGTTATCTCCAAGAAAAGAAGCTTGCTTAATGCATCCTGCACTTGCGAACGAATTCTCCAAATTTCTTCCTGCATGAACAAGGGAATCGGTCTCACACATCTCGATCCTCATCCCAAGGGCCAAGTTCCCTCCCCTTCCCCCCAGCTTACATCCGCAGCCCGACGGCATCAGAGGAGAAAAAGGTAATTTAATCGCCAGGGGTGAAAGGAGGCATGATAATAATATTAATCAATCAATCCGTCGTCACAGGTTCCCGTTCCCGTTCCCATCCCTTTTGATTAGCTAGCTAACTAACTAATACTAACTACTAACTATTAACTATGCCTCTTCTTCACTTATCCACCACCCGTTTTTTCTCGAATGCAAATAAAAACAACTGTGAGGCCCCACGCAAAGTCGGAATGGGGACAAAGAAACAGAAGACGGAAGGCCAAAGGAAAAAGCAAAATTGGGAGGGTGGGATTCGTAATTCAATCAACGGATCCAGAGCCAGACCTCCTCCAAAAATAGTTTTCCCCCTTTCTCCATAATGTTCCACTCGAACCACCGTTCGGCTTGTGTTTCGGGGCCCATCTAAAACACACCCATTCCCAACAGTCAACAATGTACAGATTAGTAACTAAGTAATGCGCGTTTGAACAGTTTGTTGTTTGCTTGAACGCGTTCTCGAATTTGCGATTTGAAATTGCAATATGAGAGGAGGAGGTGGATGTTATATATAGTGTGAGAAGAAAATCCTAGCAACCAAAAAGAGTTCATTCCATAGTTATAGCGGGAAAAGCTGGGTTTCTGATCTGATCTGGCTTGTCACGGACTCTGCCGGTTTTGAAGATAATATGATAGAATACAGCATGATATGGGACTTTTTAAGATATAATCTGATAAGATAGTTTACATGTATTTCTAAATGTAAAGCTGATTTCATTTCCTGTTAAGATATATGTATACCAAAATTACCAAATTCGTTGGAATATACCATGTCATTTTTGGTTTGTAACTATTGTTCAATAAGTAAGTAATCAAGCTACAAATGAATATCTAACGAGAAGAAGTTATAGCAATCTAGTTAACTAGAGATAACGAATGCTATATATAAGTCATCAGTTGTTGAGATATCATGCTGTGTTTGTATCAGAGGGGTGTGAATGATAGATTACGTACTTAAGTACGATACGCTGTGTGCGTACGAAGCGTTGTTTTAAAAAAGAGTGGGCCTAGCTCAAACCATTCTGAACTCTAAAACACATGTATCTATATTACTAATAATACTTTCCTTTACAGCCTATGACAAGTGTAACTGACTATTTGTGTGCAGCATGCAGCGGTGGACAGTTGCACGGAGTTTCAACACCGCTTCGAGCAACATCTTCCGCCCCGCCTGAGAGATTTCTGGCTTTCTGGCCAAGATTCACAGAAAAGCTGACTAACGTTTCAAACTAACTGCGATGGAATGGATGGATGGTAACTTCTTGTCGTTGACCACTGAAGAACCACCTCGAGAATTCACACATCTTCGCCAGCTTGACTGTCATGCAGATCTCTTCAGGGACGGAGTGACCCCACTGCAGGCCACCTCTTGCTGACTTGACCCTTTTTCTCATTTTTGAGACGTCTCTCATTTAGAGTTTCCCCAGTCCGAAACCTTGCATTTATCATCGGGATGATGGGATGGAGGAGGAATGTCTTTGCCTCCTGAGATTTTCGAATTTGCCACAACCATCTCATCCGTCCACCGACTACGTAGTACTCAGCGCTAACCACTAGGAAGCACGGCAACCCACGCTGTGGCCTTGATTGATACGGAGGCGAACTTTCGAGTCGAAATGCCCCGAAACATGCAAAAATTTTACTCCGTATATCAGCAGCGATTGGACGGCGAACAAGCTGCGCTCTCTCTCTTTTTTTTTTTTTTTTTTTGGCCCTGTCTTGCAGGATGGGCGATGATGATCAAATGTAAGTTGCCAGTTGGCCGCAAACAACAGGCAAACAACAGGCAAACAACTCAGCGCAGACGGAAGAGAGGAACAACTCATGCCTTACGAGGGAGGACTTTTTACCCTTTTGGCATACAGCCGCCTACCAGTAGTGTGAGTTGTTAATGGTCCGAAACCAGTAACAGACCGACCAACGACAATGACGGTGACGATAAGTTGCCTCCTAACGAAGCCTCTTCCCGCAGCCTCTGGGAAAAACAAAGAAAGAAAGAGAGAGAGAGAGGAGAGAGAGAAAAAGAAAAGAAAATCCGGTGGAGCCACACGCCACACGCCACACGCCACACGCCAACACCTTCAACGCTGAAGAAAGATGTGGACGCAGCCAAGTGGTCTCCTCCTCGCCCTGGTTTGTACCCGATGACGACGACCACTTGCTGCGAAGTTGTGCTGTACCTACATTAGGGCGGGCGCGCTTCCCCTCCGCGGGGGGTTTCAGTTCAGATCGTTGGTTGGGCCAGGAGAAAGGGAAATTGTTCTCATTGGCAGAAGGCGCGAATTGAGTTGGGGGGGAAGTTGGTTTCGGTTGGTGGACGTCATTGGATTATTGCACCGAAGGGAAGCACCTGGCTATACTGCGTACAACATTGGTTGGCGGACGTGCTCTTTGCTGCAGACGCGAGTTTGTTGTTGAGATGGGATGTTCTGCGTGCCGCAGGTGCTGCCACTGCCAACCAGGTGGGCGATCAAGAAGGCTTTTTTTCATCATCGGGTCCCAAAAAGGTCGGCGTCAGAATTCAAGTCTTCTAAGTACGCACAGTCCATATTTTACTGGTTGGGTTGCTTATCCTGATAAAACATCAGCCAAGGATTTGCGGTGTCTTTGACAAACAGCAATAATGAAGCCCAATCAATGAATCCCTCAAGGAGAGAGAGAGAGAGAGCATTAAAATCAGGGAAACAAATGACAGATGGATGTGCTCGTGGCGGTGTACACTGTCTGCTCTTAAAAATAGCTAGGCCAAAGATATCTTTCCGCCGAGTTGCTCCTCTCTCCTACGCTTCAGTTGCATCTATTTGTGTGAATGATGACTGTTTCATAAGCAACATCAGGAGTAGGTAGCTAGCTAGCACAGGAAGAGATGGCTCTCTGAGAACATATATCCCTCTCCTTTTAAAGCCCGCGTCTAACTAAAGGTCATATTGGGGGGGGGGGGGGTGTTATTCCCGGGTAGCACTGTAACCTTTAGTTAAATATATATACATTTACTGTATATATATAAACCAGCCCACCATTCATATAGTAATAACAACAGCAACAATAGGCTCAGCCACCCGACATTCCTATGTGATTTTTCCTCCGTTGTCCTTCTCTCCATCGCTACTATGTATGTACATACTACCAACAATAAATATCTTTTCCGGGAAATGCTGTGCCATGCTCCCAGTTGTCGCACCCCACCTCGGAGAAAATAACATCCACGGGGTAATACTGTGCATGTATGCTAGCTAGTTATTCCTATTTATTGCTCCTGCCATCGACTACATTATCACTCGTGAATTTCCCCAAAAACTAGAAACGGATCCTTGTTCAAAGTTCGAGACAGTCATGGGGGGTGGGGGTTAAGGGCGCTCTGCGGACTGGGTTCAGCCCTTTTCTTTCTCACATGAAGTCAGTCTCCGGTTACATCCTGGCATTAGAAATGCCAAATCTGGATTCTTGTTTTTCGCTCGTCAACTGCGGCGTGGAAAACCTGTATTTTCTTTCTTTCTTTCTTCCTTTCTTTCCTCTCCCCCTATATGGTGTTTGGCTCTGACGTGGAATAATCCTGATCCCCTGTCTTTGCCTGTCAATAATGATGGCTGTCAACTGCCTGGTTCATGTCTTAGTGCTTTCATTATGTTCAGTGATTTTCTTTGCTGGCGAATTCACATATATATATATAACAAAACTTGTGTTAGACCACCGGGGCAAAAGAGCTCGATCACAACCAGCGCTATCCTGGGAGTAGAGGGGATGAACCAATCCAAATCCCCAACAATTTGAAAAATTTCCCTTGGAATTATGCATGTGTTGGAATGTGTGATGAATCCCATTCTCATAAACGATGAAGCACAAAAAGTTCACACCTACGGAATCTTTATGTAAGGAGATAAGACTCCGTGTTGCAAGGCCAGTTGGGAAACACATTTTCAGACATACAGCGGAACTCTCCAAACATACACATTTCACAAGCATTCCAGTCAGCTGAAAACCAAATGACATGGCGGTTGCTGAAAATGAAAGAGATTTGTTTTCTGTAAAGAGTTGTAGACCATATTCAATTGAGAGAGTTTGATCCCCCTCACTTGCCTGGACAGTAGCGATCATTGCAGAGTGACTTCCTCAAGTATTGTTGTGGTCTTTGATTCCAGGGATGAAGATATGGCACTCTTTTGCGCAAAACCACGAGCCGTACAATGCTTTGATTCAGTGGTTTCCTCTGAAACTGATGAAATAGGCACTGCAAGTAGCGGAGCGATGTCTTTATTGAAACGGCTTAGGAAAGGTTTTATGTTAGACTGAGGATAAAAGAGACTTTCAAAAGAAGACATGGGATTCATAAACTTGCTTCATGATGAGGCTAGTCACACAAGTTTCGGGATCAGAATCATCAGATCAGTACCTTCATCACAATTGAAGCCTGAGTTCATTGTGTTGATAACTCCTAAAGAGATGCAGGTGAAGGAGCAGATACGAGGGTAGGTGACTGCATCTAAACACCAAATGCTCTTCACTAATTCGGCAGCATATTTGAGTTGGTAGCCATAACCGTCTTCAACCTTGGCCCCTGTGGCTGTTGAATCGGAAGGGGCATTATTCGTGAACGTATAATAAATACATTTTTTGCATGGGGGCAAAAATGAATAGAACCGTAGAGGTGAATTGATATCTGGACTGATGCTTCCATAAAACAAGTCCTTCTGAAGAACAAGAGACTGTTGCAGAGCGGGCAGATAGAAGTTGGCTCCGCAGATCAAGTGATTATTGTTGGCATAAAAAGGCATGTAGCCAGCCATCAATTAGAAAGCTGTCGCCCTTTTTCACAGCACATCAGTACATGGAAAGATTCAATTCATTTTGCTCATCAGAGGAGTCGAAAATCCCTAGAGCTTCGGCTTGGGTAGTGATGTGAGCATGGCTTTCAGGTAGATGGCTCTTTCCTATTGCTGAAAGCTCAAGCCATTCAGAAATCCAGTCCTAACTAAATATGGTCCCTTGCATTCGAGCAATCTTGTGATGGTGTGATTCCGGCCGAACAAATGGACGAATGAGGGTAATGTCGCTCGATGCAGAGCAATATATCTGAAGAATAAATTCGAAAATTTAAAATTGGTCCTATAAAAAACATCTCAGGGTGTATCAGAAAGCAAGTGAGTAGCGAGCGCACAATGGAAGCGCTACTCCAAGTCAAGGTTATCTATCAAGGTTAGGTTAGGTTATATTTCCCTCAGAGTGCTCGGATCGAGGCTCTAGTAAAAAACATATTGTTAACTTTGGGCTTTGGCAAAATTTAGCCATATCGAAAGGCTAGAGCCGCGCAATGCTGTACGGTGAGCGCTTGCTTTCGTTGTTTGAACGATACTTTGACTCCATAATAGTTTTTATGCTCAACAACGCCTTTCTCAGGCCATATAGATTTTCGAAGTCGTATCTAATACTCTTCATTAGCTGGCTGCTGAAATCCGCACGTCGGATATCCGTTTCAATTTGAATGGTTTCATGTTCGATTGATAGGGAATCGACGGGAGCCTGACTCAAGCCGAGAGCTTTCATACCACTTATCTTGTAGATCAAGCAGGATTGCATGGAAATGGGTTACCCCATGTTCAAAATCTGGTGGGCAAGACGGAGATTTCCACTTGGGAAACGTCGAAATTTCATCATACGATGCTGCATTCGCTTTTGCGCTTCAAACAAGGCTGCGCGAGGAAACCACAACTTCCTTATCCAGAATCCCATACAGTGATGCAGCTTTCTCATCACCTTGCAATGATTTGATGGTCTCAGGTATTGCTGGGTATCCAAGATCTTCCTCAACATCCGGATTGTCGTTGTTGGGAAAACACGGGTCGAGGGAATGGTCAAATAAGGCGCTACTTAAATGAACTGCCAGCTGATGACGCAGAGAACTTTTGGCTGTTCTCATCATGGAGTAAGTTATTGTGTCAAAGATTGCCATCTTTTGGTAAATCATCACCACATAGCAAGAACTCGAGAATCTGGAAATAGTACTCCAGGCCGGGAAGCTTCTTCTGAGGTGGGTTCATATAATGGCTCGGGCCCATACAAGCATCGCCAACTGCTTCGGTACATCGTTGAGCTCTCAGGTGGCTGCTATGTCATGAGGATGACCAATTGCTTTTGTGATAATTTGAGATATAATTCTCTGAAGAAATAATAAAAAAAAATAGCCTCAGCACATCAGACATAGCTTTCTAAAGCGAAAACTTACAAAAGATCCCCTATCACTGAGAATCTCTAACAGATTCACCCTCACTGATGTATTGCGGATCGGACTGGAAAATGTCAATATCTTAGGGTAAGAAGAGGCTCCTGAACTGAGTAAACTTGATGTGGGGTCCATATCTTCTGATAGTTGAAAACCTCTCAGAGATCCTGAGAGTATCTTGTTGTTCAGTTGCAAATTCCACCAGTGAGCTCCTTTGGCCCCTCCCGTGTGGGGAGATCCAGGCTGCTTCTGCTGTCTCAGCAAAATAAGAGGAGATCCAAAGAAACTCAAGGGCTACACAATCATTCACGGCTATGCATTGAAGGCAAAAGCCACAAAAGCTTAGTCAATAATGAATGTTTGGTGGAGTTAACTGGACTATCAAGTGTGCATTGGCTTCCTTCCACAATTGTAGTGGTGTCAAAGAAGCGCCTAGTTCCAGCAATACGATGATCAGTATGGACTTCCCGCGATATCTACAGATTTTGCTATCTGCTTTCGTCAGATTGGATCGCTACAGGTCCTATCCTCTAGTGTCATCAGTATCTTCATCCGGAGGCCCATGAGGAGCTTGAAATCGTCAAAGCAGGGAGTTTTTATCGTCCTTTGGCGGTACCTAATATACCAGCCATCACATAAGTCAATAGGCAAATGTTGGGCGATTCTAAGACTAAGCTAGAACCCGAAGCTCCTCCTAATGGTTTTAAGAGTGAGGTCCTCTATCCAGCATCGCCAGCGAAGGACGCATGCGCCACCGCCGCGTTCTCCCGGTTGATGCCTCGATTACGTATGCAGCTGCGCAAGAAAGGGGCCCAGCAATAAGCCCAATCAATGAATTCTGCAGTTTGATACTTCTGGTAGGAGGGTGATACCTCCTCGACGAAGAGAAAATTGGGTGAGGAGTGTGATTGTTCCTGCCACGCTGCATCTGTGCTGGTCCTGGGGCGTATTGTCTTCCATGATTCCATGATTATGATATGGCTCGTCGAGTCCTCCGGGGAGAGTTCGGGAACTTTCAGCTTCGCTAAAATAGTAGCGTTTCTCCATTTTTCGCTCTTGGGGGCGGAAGAGGGGGTAGAATCGTCCCCTAAACCACCGGGTTTGGATTGTTGTCCCCACCACTGTTGTTGATGCTGTGGACTTGCACTTGGACATGGACATTCTCACAAGACTGTATGGGACCGATACTGTTTGTGGTCTTATTTCCGGAGGTGGAAGAGCGGAAAGTGGATTATGCGACGAATCAAAATTGTGATGATTGACAATAATGACATTCGAGAAAAAAGCTATTATAGAGCTGCAGCTGGCTTTTCCCATTATGAACAAAGCATGTGTCCATATTGGCAACATCCGTCCCTGGTAGTAGTGGAGAAAATAAAAAAAAATAGCCAAATCCTCTGCCTCCTCGTAATCATGCTGTGCGGTACCTATAGTGTAGCTCAACCACCATAGAGGGTTCGTGACAGCAAGGCAAAAGGGCAAAAAACTTTGTTCCCGTTCGTTCTTCCATGCTACAGTATCAGGAAATAAATTCGGTTTTCATCCGCTCCAACTCTCGTCATGTCTGGCGCGTCGCCAGATGATGCACGAAATTGGTGAAGCAGATCCGTTGGACATTACAGAGGGGTTGCATGTTATATTCTCATTGGATGATGTCGAAAAGCTTGTTCTGACCCTTGAGGCGACAAAACTTGCAAGTTGGGATAATCCCTGAGGGAGACGGCAAGTGGGAATTGCCGCTGCTCCTTGTAATCAAAAAAAAAGAAAGAAAGAAAGGAAGAAAGAAAAATAAAAACTTGGAACTTGGAAACGTGATATTTAATGGTCAACGGAAAAAAAGGCGATTTCATGGCATGATCATGTATTGTGTGTGGTTGCAGATACTGTACTGTAGTTGATCTTGCACATAAATGCGCCAGTAACTACACAGGAGTGGTTTGACAAGCCCCCGGCTCGGGTGACGCTTCAAGTCAATGCTGGCCGTTTGGGTGCCACTCGATGAGAAATAGGGGCCTCCAATCATTAAGCAGTAAATTTCTCCGGATCCTGAGTCGCACTCTGTTTCATGCGTGTATCATTCTTACATAGCACGGCATATGAAGGAAACATCTTATTTGCGTGCTAGACCACTCCGACTGGTCTGTGGCTGTGGCTGTGAGAGTGGAACTGGGGGATCCACAACGTCCACACTTCCCCCTTAACGCCTGGTGCTGTTCCTGGTCTGGTCGAAGATGGGCTGATAAACTACCCGCTTCGACGGTGCGCAAAGGAGTCAAGGGGATGTGCCAACCTTTCTTCCTTGTAACGCAGTAGATTGGACACGCCTAGTAAATGATAAGATCCGCTGCGCCCCGAAACGGCAACCCCCTGACTCTCAAATCGCTGATGATGCCGCGGAGGTTGTCGAGAAGAATCAGAGGATACGCAGTCCGTCGTAGCCAGTCCAGCAGCCCGGGGGTCGATTGGTGGTGTCTCTTTTGTGGTTGGCAACCTGGCAGCACCCAACTCAACGCCAGCGTCACCACCAACTTCCAAGGTCTGGGCGGAGAAATGATCGGAGGATTGTAGATCCTGGGATCAGCGCGGTTACAGGTGTGCGACAGTGGCCCCCGGGGGTGTTCCTAAGTAAAGTCTCAAGAACAAAAGAAGGGAGAGAGGTTCTGGATAGATAAAGAAACCACTCACTTTCACTTGACGAAAAGAAATACTTGACAGGCATCGCTCAAACAGGATGTCAATCATAATAATAGGTGTATATGTCCAGCAGCAGCGTTGCTCCCGGCGCTGTCCACAGAGTGCTCTCTCTGTAAGTACGCGGCCAGCACCACCGCCCAGGCTGCTGACTCACCCGCCGAGGCGTGGCACCGCTTGACCCTTCATCTCCTCCTCTTTTGCATCTCCGGCTTTCTTTCTCCCTCAGTCTCGTCGTCGTTCTCTTCTCCTTTTCTCTTCCTCTCTGCCGCTTCTTTTCTTCTCTCTCATTCTTTCCCCAGTCTCTCGTTAGGACCCTGTGTCCACTCAATTATCCTTCGCTTCCTTCCTTCACGGCGCTTTCCTCTTCGCTCCGCTCTTCTTATCCACTCTCTTGATCAAGAAAATCCCCCCCTTTTTCAACCGGTTGTAATCAACATCGATCTGTCACTCGCCAACAGTGGCACACCCTTCTTCGCGCCTTGAACCCCATCCGGCTTCCTTCTTTCTTTCATTGTACAACTACTGATTCTCTCGGGCATTGTTGTCGTTGTCGTTGTCGTTGTCGTTGTTCTTCTTGATCTTATATTCCACCATGAAGTTCTCCTCCGTCCTCGCGGGCGCTGTTCTCGCGGGTTCGGCCTTCGCTGATCTGAACCCCATCGTCATCAAGGTCAGGAATGCAACTTGAGCTATTATCTCATGAGACTCCCTATATGCCCTTAGAATCAATTTCTAATCGGACCGATGTTTTGCTCTTTAGGGCTCCAAATTTTTCGTAGAAGCTACCGGCGACGAATTGTGAGTTGGCATCCTTCCAGTTGATATTGATATGCATATATACATATATATATATGACTAACAATTGTTCCAGTTTCTTCAAGGGCGTTGCATACCAAGGTAAGCAGACCGTGCACACTTAACATCCCTCCTTGATACCAGCGTTTTCCATAACTCACGCTTTATGTGTATGTTAAGAGGATATCTCCTCGAATGGCACCACCAGCAAGAACTCTCACTACAAAGACCCTCTTGCCAACTCCGATAATTGCAAACGCGACATTCCATTCCTGAAAGAGCTGGGGACGAACGTCATCAGAGTCTATGCCATCGACCCCGAAGCTGACCACAAGGATTGCATGCAGATGCTTCAGGATGCTGGCATCTACGTGGTCGCTGACCTGTCTGAACCCAATACATCCATCAACCGTGATGACCCGAAATGGGACGTCGAACTTTACGCTAGGTACATGGCCGTCGTCGACGTGCTTGCGCCTTGGTCAAACACTTTGGGCTTCTTCGCCGGCAACGAAGTTTCCAACCAGCAGTCCAACACCAATGCTAGTGCATTCGTCAAGGCTGCCGTTCGCGACACCAAGTCCTACATCAAGCAGAAGGGCTACCGTCCTATGGGTGTCGGTTATGCGACTAATGACGATGCTGACATCCGCGACGATATGGCTGATTACTTCAACTGCAAGAGCAGGGATGAGTCTATTGATTTCTGGGGTTACAACATCTATTCGTGGTGTGGTGACTCTAGCTACAAGGAGTCCGGATACGATAAGGTTGTCGCGGAGTTCTCGACCTACTCTGTCCCAGTCTTTTTCGCTGAGTACGGTTGCAACGAGGTCCGCCCACGCATATTCACTGAGGTCAAAGCTCTGTACGGCCCTCAGATGACACCTGTTGTCAGTGGAGGTATCGTGTACATGTATTTCCAGGAGGAAAACAACTACGGTACGCCTTGAACATCCCATGTATTCCATTGGTCTCCTTATCCAAGAATTCCAGCAGATCTAACGTCACAAAACAACCACAGGTCTGGTCAATGTCAACGGCGACAACGTCAAACCCCGTGTTGACTACAACAATCTCAAGAAGCAAATTAGTGGTGTTAACCCCAAGGGCGTCAGCATGAATGATTACAAAGTCGAGAACCTCCAACTCCGGAAATGTCCCGCCACCGGCAGTGCATGGCAATCTAGCGCCACCCTTCCACCTGTCCCCAACAAGCAACTCTGCCAGTGCATGGTCAATTCCCTCTCGTGCGTCGCCAAGTCCTCGGTCGATGATGAGGATCTCGGTAAGTATTTCGGCACTGTATGCGGTCTCGGCAAAGGTGTCTGCGATGGCATCGCCTCGAAACCCGAAGATGGTGTATATGGCGCATATAGCATGTGCGATCCACGCGACCAGCTCTCGTTTGCCTTTAACACCTACTTCCTGCAGCAGAATGGCGCCAGTGACGCTTGCGATTTCAAGGGTGCCGCGGAGCTGCAGGATAGCAAGAAGCCGACGGGCACCTGTGCCGATTTGCTGAAGCAAGCCGGCACGGATGGCAAGGGCACTGTCACCTCTGCACCCAACACCGGACCGAGCTCGACCACGTCATCCGCTGCCATTTCCACGACGATTCCAGCGTTCAATATGGGATTGCTCAGCGTGGGTGCGTATGTTGTCTGCGGTGTTTTGGCTGGGTTTGGCATTGTGTTGTTGTAAAGAGAGTGTGTTGTACTTTGCGTCTGTGTGTTTGTTTGTACTGTACTGTATTGCGTTGGACTCCATGGTTGCTGGCTGGGTTCTTTTTTTTTTTTTTTTGGATTGATTAGATAGAAGAGAATTGTGGCGAAGATGTAACCTTTTCCCCCTTAAACATTACATACCTACCTTTAACAAAACATGTACATGTGCCTCCTTTGTCTGTCTTACCTCTTTTTTACCTCCTTCCTTTCTTTTACGTTGGCCTGGGGAACTTGGGTGATGGTTAGCTTTCTTTGTCTTGCTTTTCGGAATAGCAAAGACGCTGTTTCTTGGTTTTTTTTTTTTTTTTTTTTCCTTTTCTTTTCTCTCCATTTTAATGCTCACTGATGTTTGTTGTAACTAGCCATATATAATATTTTCCCCTTCTTTTGATCAGTGTGTGTGTGTGTGTGTGTGTGTGTGTCTATCGATACCTCTGATTTCCACACTCCTTGCAATGCTATATGATTTTCCACATATCGTATCTTGGGCTGGAACGATGTAATAAACGTAAAAGTCAAAAGTCAATCAAACCGTCGTTGCCCCGCCAACCAACCCGAACCTCGTTTTGGAAAAGAATCCTCAAACCACTTTCTTGACTGGATAGAGAGAGAGAGGGATGCGAACAGCGAACATACATCGCACAAACAAGTCCTGGAAAGGAAGCGAGAGATACCAACAACAACGGCGGCAGCACGTGTATGATCGAAATCCCCCGTCTCGCCCCGCCCCGCCCTACCTCAAGGGAACATATATCCATCCATTGTGTACTGAATCGCGCGCCGTGTTAACCCTGCCCAGGGGAGCAATATAAGCAAGCGCATAAAGTTGATCTTTGTTGATCTTTCTTCTTACCTGAGGAAAACCCGGATCGAGACGATCGAGTCTGACTGGCTCGCTTGGCTGGCCGGCTGTGCTATTTAGGCGGTCCGTGGTGTTTTGATGTTGATAGTACGCGGGATATATATACATATATATAGGGAAGGGTAGGGGTATGTGCGAGGACTTGGCTTTCTTGGAAAAATATCGTTAAATAAGTGTGGACGGTGGAGGGCGCGTATATATATCTATGTATATATACATCTATACATGCACGCACTCACATCAAAAGAGCGAGAGTGAGACCCTGACCCCGACTTTCCGCATATACATACATCCTTTTCCGGTAAGGATTTAAGAGGAAATAAAAAGAAAGAACATGGCACGACTCAGCCGCACCACACCTAAGGCCGTGGTGGATACCAGAGGAGAAGATTCCAACATCGACGATACGTACAACACCAATACAAACACCAAGTCTATGTACAGCTACAACTACACCGACGAAGACAAGTCCTGGGCGGAAGCCCGGACGCGCCGTGGGGCAACCTCTCGCTCCCTGAAGGCAGCCACCACAACCACCAGCTCTACAAACGCAAACGCAAACGCAGGCGCAGCAAGAAGCGGAAAACAGCAAAACGCCCCGGCCGACCCCCGAAGCCCAACCAAGGCTAAGACCAAACCCACACCCAAGACAGGTACAAGCACAGGCACAGGCATAGGTTCTAATACCAAAACCACCCCTGCCGTGGAGGATGTCGTCGCAACGCACACTGAAACCCTTATTAGCCCAGCACAACTTCCAAGAAGCACCCGTCACAGACAACGTCAACGCCAGCTGGGCCATCGGCACGCGGATGCCCTCCTCATGCCGTTCTCAGCACCGACGCGGGCGGAGACGGTGATTGGTAAGTATGATGGTTCGACGCCTGGGCGCGGAATGGGAGATGTGGAAATTGCGCCGTTGCCGGAGCAGTTGGAGGAGGATATGCTTGGGTTTGTAGAAGGGGGAAAAGGGCAGGGGGGCATGGGAAAGAGTGCTGCTGGGGTTGGTGGTAGTGGGGAGGTGGAGGTGGAGGTGAGGGGGAATCAGGGGTGGAGGGATAAGAGGGTGGTTGAGTCGTCGGAGGAGGGGGAGGAGGAGGAGGAGGAGGAGGAGGAGGAGGAGGAGGAAAGCGACGAATTCGACTCGTTGGATGATTTCATCGTCGGGGATGATGAGGATATTAGCTATTTCGATGAGTCTTGTCTGAGCGGAAGCAGTGGAGAGAAGGATGAAGTACTCCTTAAACCCCGTTCATCGCCCAGGAAACTGTTCAGGGGCTTAAGGCCAACAACCAGAGCAACAGCAATAGCAACACCGAAGGTCTTGTGGGGGGGAAATAACACAAAGGCTACTACTAGTGGTGGTGGTGATGTGAATTCAGGCCTGGCAGTGAATAATTTGAAGTCGGGACCCAACAGGACAACTCAACGCTCTTTGTTTGACGGCAGTAGTGATGATGATGGCGATGATGGCGATGACGATACTGATAATGAGAAGGAGATGATTCCATCGTTGCCGAAGAAATTCGATCTGAAACCTCTTTCATCGATGCCTGCTTCGAAACGGGGAAGCTCACCGAAGAGAAATAGGGTCGTCAACCACAAAGCTTCTGAAGACAAGATGGAAGGGTAAGTTGCTGCTTTCTTTTCTCATCCTTGCTCCTTCTTTTGACGGCAAGCAATTGAAGAGAATTCTTTATATGTAGCCCTCAGCCTGATTCTCAACCTTCATCCCTTTCCAGGTCAGGAGGGCCAGAACAGACAGTGAGCATCGTCACTCCGCCATCCAGCCCTTCAAAACCTCGTCTATACTCTCCCTCCAAAAGCAAGTCTCGCATCCCACCTACCCCGCATCGACCAAGCATAGACGCTTTCTGGAGCCAGGAGATAATCAACGAATGGAACGACCAGTACTCCCCCAGGAAAATGAACACCCCGCGCAGAGGCCTTGAGAGATTCCGCATATACTCAGATGACGAAGATGATGATATTAATGACGTCCCAGGGAGATCACATAGAAATTCCATCTCACCACAGTCATCGCCGTCGAAAAGCCCAATTAAAAGTTCCCCTTCGAAAAAGGCTTCAGCCGCCGCAGCTGCAGCTGCGAAAAAGGCCCTTGCAGCTAAAAAGAAAGAGTTCGACGAGAAGAAAGTAAAAATGGCGGAAGAGTTCTTCAAAACGCTCGATGATGCCACGACTGGCGGGCAGATTCAGAAACTCGCTGCGGCTGCGGGAGGAGTGAAGATTATCTGGAGCAAGACTCTCAACACTACAGCTGGCAGGGCAAATTGGAAGCGCGAAACCGTCAGGCAGAAACCATCGCCGCTACCGGCTCAGCAACAAGTTGGGAATCAGTCACAGCTGAAACAGCAAGCAACATCGTCATCGCTATTGTCTGCTTCTGGCTCTCATGAAAATAATACTTCGATGGCGAGTAGTGGCAGCAAGCTGATGCCCACTGATATATCCACCGGCACCAGTAAGAGTAACAACACCGGCATGATCCCCCTAACCCCCTCCATCCTCGCTCCCGTGCGCCACCACGCTTCCATCGAACTCGCCTCAAAAGTCATAGACAGTGAAGACCGCCTCCTCAACACCCTTGCGCACGAATACTGCCACCTAGCCAACTTCATGATCTCCAACGTCCGCAATAACCCGCACGGCACCAGCTTCAAGCAGTGGGCGGCGAAGTGTGAGAAGGCGCTGGCTGCGCATCCTGTTTATGGCTGTAGCAGCAGTGGAGAAAATGCTACGAAGGCGCGCATAAACATCACCACCAAACATTCGTATGTCATCCATTACAAGTATCTGTGGTGTTGCGCGGAGTGTGGGAATGAGTATGGAAGACATTCGAGGAGTATTGATGTTCAGAAGAGTCGGTGTGGGAGGTGCAAGGTTGGTGCGCTGGTGCAGGTTAGGCCGAAGCCCAGGGGGGGTAGGTCCAAGAAGGCGGGCGCAACTGTGGCTGCCGTTGAAGGGGTCACGAAGTCGATGGGGGGAGTTCATTTGAATATGTGGTGAGAGAGTTGATTGTATCAAGTACATTGTATAGTACATGATGGTGGTGATGTCATTTCGCCGAGAGTTAAGGGGATAATGGATGCCTGTTAAGAATACATTGGGTTTTGGTGGGCTTCATTGTTGGGTGGGGATGTTTATCTATCTGCCCATTTGAAATGCTATGTATGCGGCTTGGTGTAACCAGGGTCCCGACACTGGACGTCCTATGCCTGAGACCAGGCAACTGTATTCTGTTCTGTGCATATTCACCATTTTTCTGCCCCGTTGTGATTTAAAAAGGCGTCAATGCACCTGCTGCATAAAACGCAGATTCTAGGTTTAGGCGGAGTCTTAGTGGTCTTGGTGTAAAGCTTCGACGAGTGTGGATACGTTCGTTCTTCGCTTCCTCGATGAAATATCAACTATGTTCTCTTGTATTTTTTAAATTCCTAATTCCTGATTCTCCAATCCACCAGAGCGTGCAATAATTTATAATCACTCATTGACCCTTCAATCTGATTGTTTTCGCATGTATACCCCATTTCACCCCGAAGGCGCGAAAAGAAGCTCTCAGAGAAGGATTCTGCTCAATCCTCTTCCCCTTCACTATCCTCCTCTTCCTCCTCTTCCTCCTCTTCCTCCTCATCCTCCTCACTATCCGCATTCGCCAGCCACTCAATAAACGGCTCCGTCTGCCTCCTCACTTTCTTCAATCCCTCGTTCGCCACCGCTCTCTCATCCGCCCACCACTGCTCAAACGCCTCCTCCACTACCGTCTCCAAATCATACAGTTCCTTAGCCATAAACAACAACACGGTCTCCCCGCGGCTCTTCTCCACCAACTCCTGCTGGATCAACAACAGTAAATCAACCTGATCCGGCTTCCGCGCCGGCTCGTCGCGGTCAAACACAATCCGGTCGAGTATGTCCTTGTACTTGCCAAGGACCTGCTTGACAGCGTCGCTGGCGCTGAGCGGCGATGGCGCGTCCATGAGGCCTTGGATGCGTTTGATGAAGGCGGTCACGACGGCGTGGCGCACTTGGTGTTCGGACGCGTTGGCGCTCATGCGCAGTCCGACCAGTTCGAGCTGCACGACGTCTGCGCTGAGGCCATCGCAGAGTCCGTCGTAGACGCTGTTGACGGCATCGTGGTGGAAGTGGGAGCGGTCGGCATCGTCGTCGAGGGACGGGCCGAGGCTGTCGACCCGATGGAGGGGGGAAAAGTCATCGTCCGAGAGCTCGGAGGAGAGGGTGGAGATTGAATCGGTGGAGAGGGAGAGGCCGGATATGTTGTATACTGGGTTGGTGTGGTAAGTATACAGATCGTGTTACTCTTATATCATTAGATGGGGTTGAGAAGAAAAGGAGGAAAAACGTACATAATCCAGAGGATGCAACGCTTTCATCATCGCTCTCGTCATCCTCGTCCTCCTCGTGAGAGAATTCATATCCGATTCCGCCCTCTCCAACAATTTTGGGATCGCTTGGGACAAATCCTTGTTCCCGCTCAGCTCGGGTAATTTTCATCCCTTCATGAATCGTGGTGCCATTTGCGATTTTTACTCCATATGAAAGTAGCGCGCCATTCTCGATTCTGCAATTATCCGCAACCACCACGTTATTGGCCACAATGGCGTGGTGGATCTCCGTACCATCCCCAACAACCACGTCGTCCCAGAGATATGCACCCTCGAGAACCACATTCTTGCCAATACGGCATCGTCGTCCGATGACAGTGTTTGTAACAGCTGTGTGATCCCCGAGAATCGTACCTCTGCCGATGACTGTTTTCGGGCCAATATCGCATGACGGTGCATACCTGACTCCCTGTTCCTCATAAATATTGCGCCGTTTCAGGCTGTAGGTATTGCCCGGGACTAAATTTGTTTCCAGACAAAGCGGATATGTATATCTCGACACAATATCTTTGGAAATTGAGTCATAAGTCTTAAGGTTCCGCACTCTTGCCGCGTAATGATCCTTGATAATATGGGTATGTATAGTTTTGCCACTCAGTTCGTAATCCTTGAGCACGCCGTAAAGAAACTGTTTTCGGGGCGTCTGGTAATCAAAGCTATCCGACCACAGGCTTAGGACATCTGGAGTGCAGATATCGATGTAAGTGTCGACCAGGTCGCTCCGGATATCAATTTCCGAAAACTCCTTCAGCATATCCGGGTCGACGGAGAGATAATTAGACGATCTGGGATGAGAAGACGAGTTAGACTTTCTACGCGGGCGACTTTCTATCTCTTCATAATGTAAACAGCGGTCCTTGGTAGGGTCAATAAAAAAGACCGGGGCTATGGACGGGTTCGACCTGTGCGAAACATTCGTTTCTCGTAGAATCATGGTCATAATGGCGTTTTTGTCTGTCTGTCGCCGCTCGCGGTGCTTTGCCAATGCCTCCTCAATGGCATAATTGCTGACCACATCACCGCTGACAATGATGAAGTCGCGAGTTATTAAATGTTTGCCATCCAGATCACGCATCACATCGCCAACAGAAGTAGAAGTCGATTTCAGGAAGATGAAGCTTTTGAACGGGGAGGACGGTGATTTCCATTTCGAGGCACTAAAATAGCAACCATCGATTGTAGTTAGGACCAGTAGACGTCGAATCGCGGGATTGCAATCTATTTGTTGACTCGACGTACTTGATATATATTTCCACCTGATCTGCGTGAGCACCACCGTAGAGAAACACCTCTTCGACGCCGGCATTGGCAAGGAATTCCAGGGTATATTCAATTATAGGAATGTTTGCGAGCGGTAGCAGACACTATCCATCCTCCAATGATCACAGAAACTTAGTCAAGTTGCACATAAGAATCGGCCCTCGAATTCCCCAATCCCAAGCACACGTAAATCCAACAAGATTCACAGGGATTAAAGGAAACATACTCTAGGCTTCTCCAGCGTAAAGGGTTCGAATCGTGTTTCAAATGTATCTGCCAAAACCTTGAAAGGGTAAGTCAGCTATCACGAAGAAAATGAGAATGTGCAGCGTTGCGATTCCTCGAACCCACCCCCTCAGGAAGTAAAGGTACAACATACAACAGCCTGAAGCGGCTCTTCCCTCTCATCTTCGGCAGCCTGCGATTTTTGCCGTCCGCCAGCGCCTCCGCCGCTCTTCGACTTCGGGCCCATCTCCACCCGCCCTAGCTTGCAGCCTCTCGATTTGAAGACGGTGTTGTATTTATGTGAGGAAAAGGAAATTAACAAAGCAGCTTTACAGGGTAAAAAGGTCGGGTATGGCAAGGAAAAATCTAAAGAATATGCAGTCTTGCTCCATCAAAGACTATACCCCGATCCAATTTCCATGCCGGCGTTGTACCTGATTCGTGACTCGTCGTTGGTCGTCTCTTTTTGGATCGTGGAACTTTTTTATGCCTGATGAGGCTCCATTCTCCAAGCCACAGAGAGGGGCTTGCTTCAGGCACCGCCGCATTAGTCATCGCTTGCATAAGCCAGCAAAATATCAATGCCTTCCTGAGACCCATTCTAGGCCTTTGCCTGGGCCGCAGCAGACGAAGATCTCCAAAAGATCCAGATTCCCATAGAACAGCCGTCAACCAAGGGCAAACGGTCTGGACCAAGGGGGTGGAGGTTGGGCGCTACATACGGACAGGGACAGGGACAGGGACGAGGTGCGGGATGGGCTACGCACGGAGCACAGAGGCACCGTGCGATAATAGCAAAAGAAATAACATAAACAACTGAAGAAAAGGATGTTGCTGGACCAAGGAACTACGACTCAAGATCCCCAGCTGCTGATTCGGAATTTCCCATTTTTGTCCAACGGAATTCGACTGTTCGGGCATTCGGTCCAGACCATCCCCAAGGCGAAACGGTCCTTTTGACTTTTGCGGTCGACTAGTTAAGGGACTACGGAGTGCAGTGCGTAGCTAGCTAGCTATGTAGCTAGCTTAACAACCCCTAAACAAAACCTTCTGAAATCACCTTGTCATGCATATGCATGCACTCTGCTACCCAAGCTCCTGTTGAAGCGGTTTTGAAATTTTGAAAGGCGCTCGGATTTCCCGCAGGGATCAGCCTCATGGGAAGAAGAAAAGAAAATCGGTCCGGGCCTGGGCTTTTCTTTCCCCCTTCTCTTTCCTTGCTGTTTGCTATGCAGCTAGGGGTGTTTGTTTTGTGGTCTATTTACATTCTAACTGCGTTGACACGTACGCAGCAGTATGATCCATGATATGATCCTTGGGGATCGGAGGGCAGAATGTGAGCAAAAGGGGTGATAGGATGTGAGACAAGTGAGGCAGACAGACAGACAGATAGATGGTATCAGTCCGTGGGTCGATGTGGAAATAGCCATTGGAGGAATAGAATCAAGGCCCGAGAATGAAAGCTCTGTACAGACATATGTACATACTGTACTATCCTAAATTATTTTTGATATCCCAAACGCTAATTGGAACACTCTGCAGTAAGGCATCGGCATTGATCGCCGATTGGAAATAATGAACAACAACAAAGAAGAAGAGGCCGCGCGACCTACGGAATATAGGGAGAATCGAAAACAATGAGTGAATACTCCATGGATGTATCATTATCGATATCTTCCAGAGACACCCGTTTTTTCCAACCCAGAATTGACGTCAAATCTTATTTCATTTCATTGTTCATCCCATCTCATCCCAATCCGTGTATTTAGTAATGATCAAGATGATAATATATAAGGGGGAACAAATAGGGAGATTTGCCGCCAATGAAAGCGAGAGGGAACCAAAAAAGGAGAGAGAGCGCAAAGAAATAGATTAATGGCGCTTTTCGTGTTGTTTTACTCTCCGTTCCAACTCTCACCTGCCTTCCTACCTTCTTGTCTGTACTGTACTGCCAAATATACGGATATGGATGGATGGATTAGATAGACGGCAGTGTGCACGATGTGGGACATCAACGCATCCATATATATCTGTGTATGTATGCATATGCATCCGTTTCCGAAATGAAAAAAAAAAAAAAAAAAAAAAAAAAAAAAAAAATAGAAAACGTATTAAGAAGATATATAAGTAGAGCATGAAACCGATATATTAAGCAAGGGGAATCCCATCGGTGAATGTGAAACCCCCGGATAAGTAGAATGGAATTGCTCTTTTATTCCGAAGCGGTGCCCTCCAATAATGACACAGCGGAAGGAACCTTAGGACGGGGTGCCGTTATCCAAAGGAAAAAAAAAAAAAATAAAAAAACCTCATACACACGGGTTTCCGTCATCCCCCGTCCCCGTCCCAGGCTTTCCCTACTGGCACTCCGGTTTCCCGCGCGCGTCGATCCAAAGCTATTTACCCTATATAGGAACAACAGAAAACCGACCTTGCGATTTAGATCCATATCATATATCCGCCCATCCAAGGACATGTATGTGCCACATGAAAGAAACCAATTTGATATATCCAAATATCACGAACAAAGAAACGACCCCAGCTGCGGGCAAAGGGGATAGGTAGGTAGTATAATGGTGATGACAATGATGAGTTTGTAGTGGCTGTGGCTGTTGGTTGTGGTCGTGGATTGAAGATGACGAGATTTCCGCCTCATAAGTACATTTCCGATTTAAGACAACAAAATAAATGAAATAAGAAATATCAATAGACTATGTTTTTCCCCCAAGTGACACAAATGAGCAAGAGAAAAGGAAAATGAAAATAGAAATCCCAGATTGGTTCACCCATAAAACGCCAATAGAGTGTGTCTTTTGATTTGGTATGCCCTGCGAGCAAAAGAGAGAAAGGGGGGGAGAGACAAGAGATGGCTAACTCAAGTCATGCGTGTGGAGTATTTAGAGGGATAAGGGAAGTGAGGTGAGTTTTCAAAACAGCAAATCAAATATAACGACGTGAAGTTTCGCTTTGTCCGGGGCCGTGGGAACCCCAGGTAGTGGTAAATAACATTATCGATTTGTGTGCCAGCAAGATAGGGTAAAGATAAAAATAGCCTTCGTACGAACATGACAATGGTAATGTGTAAATGATGAGGAAGACAGTTTCAGCAGGTTTCAACCAGAACAAGTGAAAGAAAATGAATACTTTATACCCATTAGACACACAGTACACTGTCTCCTCATATATTTATATATATATATGTGTGTGTGTGTTTGCGTGGTAAAACTGGAGAGGAAGGGTGCTGGCTTCCATCCAAAAACCTTTTTAATAGGCCAAAAAGAACAATAAAAAGTCAAAGGAGGAGAGCGATAGGGGGATGAGAAGAGGAGCCATGACTTAAGAAGAAGTACGCACGATGGCGGCATTGCCAACAGGAAACGACATGGATTCGGCACGATATGATACGACCGATGCCGGAAGCGAAACATATATAGAAACGGAATCTTTAGGTTATGCGATTCGTTTGCATGGGATTCACAACTGTCTGAGTGTTATGCGTAAAGATCTTTTGTCGTTTAGGGAACGAGTTCCCATCGGCTGCGCCAGCTATGTCCGACATCTGACGGCGATTTTGGACGCGTGACGCCGTGGCCGCCGTGGGGTTCATCGTGGAGAGTTGCGGTTGTGGGTGTGGGAATTGGACCCCGTTTTGGTCTAGCGCAAATGCTGCAGCTGCAGCTGCAGTGGTTGGGGTTTGCTGCTGCATGTACTGACTGGGGACACTGGGGGTGATGGGCGACATGCCCTGGAATTGGCCGGGGGACTGCCAGTTATTCATCGATGCAGCTGGCGATTGGCCTGGAGAATTCTCGTCCTTGACGGACTGCGCAGCTGAGTTTTGGGCGATGGGCGCAATAATGGCTGATTGTGGTGCTTCCATTGTGTTTGGTATAGTTTTTAGGTGATTTAGGTGTCTTTCGAGCACAGTGAGGAGGCTCTGGCGGGTAAACGGTTTTGGAAGAACATCGTTCATGCCTTACGGAAGGTTAGTTATGGTAGTTATGGTAGTCGTCAAGAGAACTGAATAGTAATTTCGAACATACCATGCTGGAAATAAAGCTCAATGTCGCTGCTGCGAATATTTGATGTCATGGCGATTATCGGAGTAGTGTCAACCCTTCTAATTACACTGCAAGCGGAAACGCCATCAAGATTCGGCATAATGATATCCATCAAGATGAGATCGTATTTAGAACCTTCTTGTATTTTATTAACGGCTTCAAGGCCATCGAGCTAGAGTTATGTTAGGGAGCTGAGAACATATAAAAGAAAACGATTTGTTGGGAAGGGATACATACCGCATAATCAACAGTGCAACAGAATGAAAGCAAAAACTTCCCACCAACTTGACGACAAGTCTGGTCATCCTCAACCAAGAGAATGCGCGGAGGCTGTACCCAACCTGGGTTTACGTACATGCTCTTCTTGCGTCCATCCACGTATTGTCGCCTTGGGTCATTAGGATCGAGCTCTTTAGGGGGAAAGGAATACGGAATGTTGTTAACATGCTCGCTATACAGTGGTTCAATCCCATTGGGAGCACCAACGGGATAAACCAGCTGTTCCAGTTCGCCATTTAGCTTAGAATATCCCAGTGACGATGTGGAACCAGAGGAAGTGGGAGGCCTTATCGTTCCATTCCGCTGAGTCTGATCAAGAGGCGGCGTGGGGGCGGCTCCGGGAAGCCGACTTTGAATGTCGGTCATGGATTCCAGACTACCCAAGTTCATTTGAATTTCGTTGCTCAGCTCGCTCAGAATTTTGCTGGCTTGCTGTAAAGGAGAAGCCGCCTCCTCTTCAGCCGGTGCAACTTGGGAAGGGCTTAAGTCTGGCCCGGTGGTCCCCTGGAACGACACCTGTGTTCTGCTCTCTCGTCTGTGTCGTGCATCGACGCCATGCAGGTAGTTCATCATGTAGTGGAGAACCTGCTCGTGGCTTAACATCGATTTCTGAACTCTCCGGACTTCAGTTTGCATCATTTGATTTTCCAAAGCCAATTGTGAGAAACGATCGCTTAACTGCTGAAACTGCTGGGCCTGAGCTACAAGTTGCTGGTTCAGCATGTCGAACTGTTGGGTATGGAATGTTTCCTCGTTCAACTGGGCGGGTTTTCGTGGCGCTGGGGCTTTCCTCCGAATATTATCCAATGATTCTTTGTTGTTGGCCTTGAACTCGGGGTGCTTGAACTCCCAAGCCTAGAAGAAAACCAGATCGTTAATATTGATGTGCATTGAGGATGCACGGGGACGGGATGACTCATTGATTTGGAAGGGAGGGAATGCTTACATTGGGTCCGTAGGGTGATTGACCAGACTCTTCATTATTTTGGCGGACTTTATGGAAGTCGTACTTGTTGAGTTGTCGGACGAAGCTCGCAAAATTACTGTGTTTGAAGTGCTTCGGAAGTATTGATTTGGTGAATTTTTCGCACTAGAAATATGGGAGTCGTTAATCACTATTGCGTATGCATACTGGGCTTTATCGACCGCCGAGCAAGAACGAAAATGGGGCATAGATGTCCGCCTTACCTCTAATACGACGAAGCTGTCATTGTCGTCTCCCCAGCGAACAATTTGCGAGTACGACGGATCCTCGAGCATTCTACCAACAGAGTCATTGTCAGAAACTATACTGGATAGCATCCACAACTCATACAGCTATAACTCTCTCTGCATGCGATCCGTAGGGCAAGGTCGTCAAGGATTCTGGTAGGGGAAGGGGGGAAGAAGGGAAGAGGGTTATTACTTGTAGAGCTTTCGGACCTGTGAATTTAAAAAAAAGAGGAAGAGTTAGCGATGCATCATTTCGCAATTAGACAGAACGGCAGATAAGACGTCCCATAACAGGAAGTGTGGGAATGGGAGGAAAATCTTACAAAATCGCTGGAGTTACCCGCAGGGGCACCACCACCTGTTGGGGTACTACTCTCCAGTGCCATGTTTTATGTATTATGTATGCGGCGGGAGAATTTTGTTATTTTTTTTTTTTTTAAAAAAAAAAAAAAAAGGAGGGGCGGGTGAGGGTGAGAGGTTCTGGACCTCGAGGAGATAAGATCGGGACAAAAAAAAAGGAACGAAAGTAGGAGGGAAAAAGAAAAAAAACCGGAACAAAAATAGAACAAACAAATTGATTAAAATCAAAGAGCCGTGCAAATAAGCCCCAAGAGGTGAGAGGACAAACGAAAGAATTTAAATCTTCCCAAAACGAAGGTAAGGAAATGTTGTGGAAGGGTGGGGAGAAGAGAAAGAGTGAAAGGATAGAAGAGAGAAGATGGCGGAGGGATGAAGGCGGAGGAAGCGCGGGAGTGGAGAACGAGAGAAGAGAAAGAAGCGAGAGTTGGTTGCTTTTGGGGGTTTTTTGGAGGCTTGGTGCCTGAGATTGTTAGATGGTAAATAGCGACAGCTTTCTTTTTCTTTTTCTTGTTCTTTTTTTCTTTTATTTATTTTATTTTATTTTTTTTCTTTGGTGATGGCGATGGTAAGATGTCGGAACCGCTGATTGGAGAGTTACCAACCAGATGTCAGCGTGTATTGGTATTTTCGGACAGCGACAGGGACTCGCAGCGCCCCGAGCCTCATCAGGGTTAGAGGATGAGAGGGCAGTGTGGAGGAAAGTGAGAGAGAGAATGGGGAAAGGAGGAGGAGGAGGAGGGAGGGGAGGGTGGGAGGTTGAATGATAGTAGCTAAATCTATGTATCTGCTTCTGCTGTTGCGGCTGGAGTTTACTGCATTGGAAACGGAGCCTTGCCGGGGGACCGACGATATCGAGGTGGACAAGCAGCGGAGTGAACGGGGGGATTTTGATATGTCGGCTGCAGTCTGGGGATGGGGATGGGGATGCGGATGGGGATGGGATCAATAACGGT